CGCAGTTTAGAGATTCGTAGACAAAATGGTTTCCGTGCAGCTGCTCTACGTAGACAGCGTCGTCGTGTGGACGAATTGGATATTCTGCAGACACGACGTCTGGAAGCGGCTGGAGCGAGAGATAGCATTTTGGCAACGCAGTGTGTTGCCTTGACGCATCACATACTACAGTGTCTACAGCAGGCACCGTTGTCTTCTCAAATTAATCGAAATGAGGCCAGCCCCACTGTGAACTCATCGGCTCTGGTTAAGCAAACTAGACTTTTCTTGGAGCAGACTAAGCGGTAAGATTTTGATTCCGTTTCTTAAGCTTGCTTTACGCATTTAGATGCTTGCTCTTATTTGACTCGTTCTACCTATTTTCTGTAGTCCTCCAGTGCGTTTTTTCTACCGTCTGGACACTTGGGAGGATGACAGTAGACAGCGACGTCGTCTGGTCCTCAATCCCTTCGGATCCAGTCATCCCGAAGCTGTTCTTCATTCACCGCCTCCGATCTCCCTAGCTCAACCTCCAAGCACAGCTCAGACTGTCACTATTGATGCAACGGCGTTGAATTTCAAATCTCAATCTGAACCACTTCAACAGCAACCCTCTCAAGATTCAGAGACGACTGAAGTAGAAAGGAAATCGAGCGTCGAGCTTCAGCCTCCCCAAACTCCTCTTAATCCCAATTCCCCCCTTGTTCTAACAGAGCCAGCACTAACACCGGGTTTGGTGTCATTGCATCAGGACTCTCTTGCCTATGGACAACTTGATATAGGGCCGCTTAGTGAGTTCTTATTCGATTGTATGATGTCACTACCTACAATAATCGTTCCTCGACGTTAATGCCTTTTGTTGTGTGCAGGCTCTACGGTGGTTACGACGCCCTGTCAACTGATTGCCGCTGGTGTTGCTGTACACGGTGTTCTTTCTGTCTCAAACTCTGTCTTCACCTTTGAAACTGATCCCAGCCATGAAGAAAATCAGAAAATCGATCCACAGGTTAGCCGTCGATCCTTGTCTATAATTTTGGTATTTTAGTATTTTTATCATTTTAGTTATCTCACCCTTGTTGCGTTTCCTGCTGCTAACTGGATTTTTCCAGACTTTAAGCTCAAATTTCTCACCCTTTTTCACTTTATTATTGGGGTTAACGAAGGTTATGCTCTTTATTTTCGGGCACATCTCACTAATAAAGGTGTTTCTACACTTCAATTACTACCTCCTCGTCTTTTGAACATTTTCTAATGTGGCTTCAGGTCTCTCTCTTTAGCAGAAAAATGCGCGTTTTCCTGGTTTCAGAAGCAATGGTTAAGTTGGATAAAAATTGCTTTATAATTTGATATGTGCCCAGTAGTGAATCGGTAAAGTTTTTATTCCTTTTAACCGTTCAATTTCTCTCAATTTCTGTGGAAATAGACATAATGTTAGTGTATATAGAGAAGTGGTATTGTCTGTGTTTGTGTTTACTGCCAAAGAAACTAATAATTTATTTATATCAAATGGCAGGCGTTGTGAAAGTTATCATTAGCCCTATAGTTGACTTTAGGCTTCACAGAGAGGAGGAGGCACATCAAAGTGAAACAAGTCGAGAGGGAGAGGGGGAACAGAAGAGAGTTTCAAAGATGTAAAAGAGACAGACACAAAAGTGGGAAAAGGTGAGGTGCGTACTGTGGAAGTAGTCGAATATGACATACAGTGGGGTGATGGTAGTTTGATGTCAGAAGTCAAATACCTAATAATAGACCTTTTTGCCGTATGAGTACACATTGCCCAGGGTGCACCACGTGGAGGTAAGTCTATCGCATACCCCAGAAACTAATAATAAGTACGTGGTTTTATCAAATTAGAGACCGTTAATCCCCTTCAGATCAGATTTGTTGAGTTTATACTAGAAATTACATTAATTGAATATGAGTCTATTTGATCTGCTTAGTGTTTGTTATGTGTGATGCCCTTAAAATTGTGCTCATCTTTCCATTTTCTTGCTTGATTCCTAGGTTCTGGCCTATACTGGAAATCTCTACTCAAAATGGCACTTCAGTGAAATTCGAGCCGTTTTCACACGTCGTCATTTACTTCGCCATGTCGCACTCGAAATATTCCTCACAACTCGAAGTAAGATTTTTTGTGGGGGTGGGGGAGGGGAGCAAAATAATAGAATTTCTTTCATTGATTTCCAACTCCTTTGGCGGGGTTACTTCAACGTGTAGAACACCGTCCCATCATCCTTCTAATTAGTAGTGGCATCGAAGTTATTTCTACTACGCAAACGACTTGAATTTCTGTGTTCTGGATCCGTTCATTACAATCGTCCGTAGATCGAGAGAGCAAAGTCTGTTTAACACTTTGAGATCAGAAGAAAGCATACAAACACCAGGAGGAAAGACGCTATTTTAAGGGAGTGAAGGAATAGGCATAGAATCAATGCCTCATCAAATACTTCATCCACCCAATTGGCTGTGTTTTCTTAAGAGGGTGGCATTTGCTTGTTGGCTTCGGATTACCAAACTTTATACCAAATGGCAGGCTTTGTGATAGTTATCAATAGCCCTTTAGTTGACTTCAGGCTTCACCGAGGGGAGGAGGAACATCAAAGTGGAAAAAAGTCTGGGGGGGGAGGGAACAGAAAATTGTTTCAATGATGCAAAAGAGACAGACACAAAGGTCGAGAGTAGGGTAGGGCGAGTACTGTGGAAGTGGTGGAATATGACATAGAGTGGGGTCATGGTAGATTGAAGTGAGAAGTCAACTGCCAGTTAATAGACTTTTTTACCGTATGAGGACACGTTGCCCAGGGTGCACCACGTGGAGGTAAGTCTATCGCACACCCCCGGATTGCCAAACTAAATCACATACCTTCAGTAGACGGTCAATACATATATTGCTCAGAATTGATTGCGCATTTAGTTAAATTAAGAGAGTATGTGTGTGTGCGTGCGTGTGTGTGTGTGTTACCGGACGATGTAAATCATTTTTTCTAAGCCCTCAAGAGGAGTAAGTCATCATCGAATTTGTCTTCGTTGTCATAATTTCCACTGGGAGTTGGGACAAAATTGGGAAAGGATTTGGTTGTCGATTTTCTTCACGGCAATTTAGGTGAGTAAATGAAAAGCTTCTTATTCTTCCACTACATCTGGCGTAAGGATAGGAAGAAAACAGCTGAGGTCTCAAAATAGGGAGGTCCTTTAAAACCACCACCCAAGGGATGATATGATTTTGATTCCAATTCGAGTCAGCATTCATTTATTTATAACTCTGTCATATACTTGCTATTGTTATTTGATTTATGTCAAATGACAGGCTTTGTGATAGTTATCATTAGCCCTTTAGTTCACTTCGGGCTTCACAGGGGGGAGGAACATCAAAGTCACAAAAGTTGAGTGGTGGTAGAGAAAAGGAAAGGTGAGTACTGTGGAAGTGGTGGAATATGACATACAGTTGGGTGGTCATGGTAGCTTGAAGTCAGAAGTCAACTGCCGGTTAATAGACCGTTTTGCCCTATGAGTATACGTTGCCTAGTGTGCATCAGCATGAAAGTAAGTCTATCGCGCAGCCTTTTTGTGAACCTCCGAAGAGATAATACCATATTAGCAAACCAGTGCTATTAATCATAAGCCCAAGCTAATTTATAGTATTCACTTAACTGGCCAAATACGCTGATTGACAGAATTGGTCACTCCTAATTTTGCTCACTCCCTTCTAGCTTCGGTGATGTTTGCGCTGCCTGACGAAGCAATTGTTCGCCGGGTGGTCTACGCTCTCCCACCTGTGGGTATTGGTATTCGCTACGGGGTCCCCCAATCCCATCGAATATCCCTCGCCCCGGGTCGCCAGCATCTCTCCCTCTCCCAAGCCACTCAACGTTGGCAACGTCGTGAAATGTCCAACTTCGATTACCTCATGTGTCTAAATACACTTGCCGGACGTAGCTTCAATGACCTCAACCAGTACCCCATCTTCCCTTGGGTTCTCTCCAACTATACCAGTAAACACCTTGACCTCAATGAACCAGCGAATTATCGGGATCTCTCAAAGCCCGTTGGGGCATTGAGTCCGGCGAGGAAAGCATTCTTTGATGAACGCTATGCCGATTGGGATGATCCCACTCAACCCGCTTTTCATTACGGAACTCATTACTCTACCGCTGCCTTCGTCCTGAGCTATCTTATTAGGCTGGAACCCTTCACCACATTGTTCCTCAATATGCAGGTACGTTGCAAGGACTGCATAGTCTTTCTTATGTTCGAAATAGCAAAAGTTTAAGGGCTTTTATTTTGTGTTTTTTTCTGGTTATTGATTGAATATGCGCAGTGGTGTTGTGCCCTATTCGATATCGATTGCATCTCTTTGACCCTAAATTCTATAATAGGGTTTATCATAGGATTCTTCTAAATCCGAGCTTTTTTAATTCATTTTATATGCATATAAGCCAAGACGTGTGATTTTTCGTACCATGCCTGTATGAACACATCTTTGTGTGAGATCGGTAGTGTTTTGAGGTCATTATAATCTAGTCACAGTTCCCGCTGCGTGTTGTGACTTAGGCGGTTTTGTCAAACTCTACTTGATCTCTTTTAATGTTCTTAAACGGTAATATGCGTCGCAGTTGTTGCGAAAATCAAAGAAAGTGCATTGGGATTCGCGTACTTCTCCTTGAACCCTTCGACTGTATTTATCAAGGCTAGTGGATGGACAATGGAGATGGGGAGGGGGTGCTAGGTCTTCCTAACCGAAGTTTTGAATTTCCATGTTTTTGTGCTTGATTATAACACAAAGCGGTTCTTATTTTCTCGACTTCAAATAAACACGCACGCACCAGGACGCTGTAAAGATTGGACCTCCCATGTGCGATCACATGATCTTTTTTTCTCTGTGACACGTGATTTGAGGAGGAATGATTCCCCCCTCCCCCCCCCCTCCTGTCGTCATATGTGTCCCCCGCGCTCGTCTAAACGATATATGATGAGATTACCCCACCTCGAATATATTGCAGTTCTAATATTATCTTTACAATTGGTAGGAAGTTAAGTGGAGTCTTAATTACGGCTGTTTTTTTTTAATCTATCTATCATTTGCATAATATCTCCTCTATGTACCATTCTTATTTTTTCTGCCCGAATGATTAAGAGTATACCCTGGGCAATGTTTTGAGTTCTTATATTGTTAATTTAATCTGCCTTTAAACGCTTACTTATAGGGTGGAAAGTTTGATCATCCAAATCGGCTCTTCTACTCTGTGGCAGCCACGTGGTGTGGATGTCTCGAAAGTAGTACTAATGTGAAAGAACTCATTCCGGAATTCTTCTACCTCCCCGAAATGTTTGAGAACACTAATGGATACGATTTGGGGACCTTGGACGATGGCACGAAGTTGGGAGATGTTGAATTACCCCCTTGGGCTTCTAGTCCTGAGGAATTTGTGCGAATTCATCGACAGGTTCGTTGTTCTCTGCCTCCTCCTTTACCTTTAATATATCCTTTCTTTATTGTGCTGCATATTATGAGAAATCTCTCATTTCAGGCATTGGAATCAGATCTGGTTTCGTGCCAACTTCACCACTGGATTGACCTCATTTTCGGCTACAAACAAAGAGGACCCGAGGCTGTGAAGGCAGTGAATGTCTTTCATTACCTCACTTATGAGGGCAGCGTAAATTGGAGCAAGGTAAGATCAAGTTATGCCTCTCTGGAAACGAAATATCCCCATCGCCCCGCGTCACCCCTCTTGTCTGTTACTTTTGTATTGGCCTTTTCATGGATTTGAAATGATAGGAAGAAGAGGTTTGTGTTTGGATAGATGGGATTTGAGAGGGCTCGTGCCAATCTCGAAATCCATCTAGTCGGTAGTGCTCTCTCGGGGAGATTTATTTATTTTAAATAGAAGGCATTTTGTTAGTTATCATAAGCCTTTTAGTTGACCTCGGGCTTCATCAAAGTGAAAAAAAGTCGAAAGGGGGGATAGACACTAAGGTAGAAAAAAGGTAAGGTGAGGTGAGTACTGTGAAAGTGGTGGAATACGATATACAGTGGGGTCACGCTAGTTTGAAGTCAGCAGTCAATTGCCGGTTAATAGACTTTTTCGCCGTATGTGTATACGTTGCCCAAGGTGCCCCACGTGAAGGTAAGTCTATTGACACACCCCAGCTCTCTCAGGGGAATATGTGCATGAAATTCATACTCCCGGGCAATTCCCAACCTTTCGATTTAGCTTTCGCAGATATCAGTATGTACTTGGCCAAAAAGCATCTACAGGCAAGAATCGACTTTATAAGTAGCAATTTCACTGAGATTGATTAAATTTGTGATACATTGTGTGATAGGCACTAACTGATATTTTGATTAAAATTAAATATACCTGGTTTTGACGAGTGTCTATCTGAATTTCAATTTATTTATCGAAAGGGTTAATTATTTTCCTCGTCTTTAAGTTGCAAAATAAGACTTCCGCCTTTGTTGGGCCTTGGAGTGTTTCATTGCCGCCTTTGAACTCACTTGTCATTTAAACCTCCTGCTTTCGCTGTATCCAGCTTCCTCGCTCAATTTTGTTAGTGGTGACACAATCGTTCCTTTGAACATCTGAACGAAAGCGGTTCGAATCATCTAATGCCTCCACCGCTTCTTACCGCATTAAGGAAGGACTTCATGCTGGAGCTGATATCTTCGTGTTCGCAAGGTCGATGCTTAGATTTGTTTAAACATTTACTATTTGATTCTTAAGCGTAGGGGGGGGGGAGTGGGGGTTACATGAGTACAAATGAAATCTGATCGTCACATTTGCATCAGATCCTCCTCTGGGGGTATTACATACTCAATTTTAACCTGAACGAAGACCTTTGATTTTGATTGGTTTATGAAATGTTTATAAGCGAACCTCCGTGCGCCACTTTGGATTACTCGGGTTTATTACTTTTTATCGACAAACTCTCAATGTTAGATGTGCTCTGTGAATTTGACCTTCGCTTTCTTCTTCTTCTGGCACTGGATAGCTTAGATCTGGACCATGAGAAATGTGCTCGTGAAGCTGCAAGGCAACTCAAGTCTGCGTTCTTGACAATCCGTGTAATTGTCATTAGTTTTCTTGAAAGCTCTCCAATAGAGCTGAATTCCTCAAGCAAAGAGACGCTAAACATATCTCGTGCAGGAGCGACGTCTTTTCTTGATTTTTGATAAATCCAATGTTTTAAGCTTTTCATCATTTCCTACCTAAGTTGGTATTAGTATTACAAAAGCTAACCTATCGTAATTGTTAATCTAATAGACGTAATTCAATAAGCGCTCTTTTAACTAGGTGACAGATCCAGTTATGCGAGAGGCTCTAGAAGGTCAGATCACCTGTTTCGGCCAAACACCGAGCCAACTCCTCACCACTCCTCACCCCCCGCGGGGTTCCGCATTGGCCGCTTGTCCTCGTCTCTTTGTTCTCCCCACCCATGAAGTTGCCGCACGTCTCCGTCCCGCATCGCGGGCTCCCCTTCTCGGCCTCTACTTCGTCTCTCATGCCAGCGAGGTGGAACTCATTGGCGTCTCTGCCAATTGTGTTTTCACTGTTAACAAGTGGAATGGAGCCGCCGCCGCAGCTGCTGCTGCTTCCAGTGGAAGGGTCGATTCCAATAATGGCAAGTTCTCACTTCAATATAGGGATGTGCTAGTGTTCATGTTCGTTCTCAAACGCCAGCTGATTATGACCCATTTAAGGGTGATTGAAATGGAGGAGGGATTATTACCCAAAGTAGTATAGAGAAATATTTGGGGCTTCGAACACACGGAAATGAGAATTCCCTTTGGAAAATCACTTGATTGGGACTTCAAACACCTCAATAGACTGGTCCTACCGCAAACATTTTTGCCAATCGATTGTCAGTGTGTGTATTCAGGTTCTTATTGCCTTCCGATTATGTAATAGAACCTCAAATTAAGCCAATCCTTGTAGTTTTTTTACAATAAGTTACGGAAGCGCGTCTTTTCCATTTTCCTCTTGAATTTCCTTACCTAACATGTCTCTTCTAAATATTTTAGAGGCCTCTCGCCACAAGAGTAAGTTTATTCTTCTTGTTTAAGTTATTAAAGGCTGTTTTTTATCATTAAAATGACAAAAAAATAAATTTGTAGGTTCAAAGGTAACTTCTCCCATTTCGAAATCTCAAAATGAAGGGTTGACGGAAGCTTCGCTGGAGATGGAGACTGAAACGTCCTCGGGCCAACCCATAACGCAACCTTCTGCACCATCGCCGAATTTCCCAACCTCGGCCACCCTTCCAGTTAGTCTTCCAGAGAGTCATTCTCTGCCTCTTCTGACCCTCGATCCAACTCCTCTTGGTTAGTTAGAGTTGCAAATATTTATTTATTTCAAATGGCTTGCTTTGTGATATTTATCATTAGCCCTTAAACTTTGACTTCAGCTTCCCCCAAGGGTGGGGGGGTACATTTATAGCAGTTCATTAGCCGTCTTCTTGCTTCCCAGTATCTCTGGCTTTCCGTCGTTGTCTTTAGGGCTGGATACCGAATCAGGTGGGTCTTCTCCATTTCCTCCTGTAGGTTACATAGGGGGCATGTGGGTTGAGTGTATACTCCCAATCTGTGAATGTGTTTTGCCAAGCAATCGTGTCCGGTACGTAGTTTAAACTCAGCAACGGCTTCTATTCTTGGCCAGTCGGCTACGTCGAAGAGTACCACTGTCCACTGTTTCTCCTTCGTTCGAGCTTTAAGTTCGTTGCAACTTGAGTTGCACATATAAATACGAATTCAAACTCATAAGTGTCACTAAACTCATAATCAAGAACTCAATTCTTCCATTAAATGCTTCATTAAGTTTGGTATTGCAAAAGTGGATGATATTTTTCTTGAACCTCTCTCATTCTAGCGTCAAACGTTATTGGAAATAGACGGTACTTGGGAGAGAATATGGATCCCTCAGTGCGTTTGAGCGCGAACAATTTTGTGGTTACTGCTGATGGGAGAGGAATTGTCGCCTGTGGATACTGCGATTACTCGTTTCGCATATTCGCCGTCAGCTC